CTTCCTGGTCTGTCTCCCCATCTATATCTCTCATTCAAAACCCTGTTGTATACTCTTCTCTTCTCCTCATCCATCAACCTCTCTAGTTCATCTTTTTTATCCAATAACTTCTGTCTCGAATCTTTTGTTATTTTCTTCTTATGTATCTGCTCCAAGTCCAATATTTCTTTTAATAGCCCACTGATCCACTCTCTTCTTTCCTTTTTCTTCCTTGCTCCTGCCGCAATCAAGATACCTCTTATGAATACCTTATGGCTTTCCCAGACTGTAGCTATCGATACTTCATCTGTTTCGTTCTCCTTAAAGTATACCTTGATCTCTTTCTCGATTTTCTGAACTACATCCTCATCCAGGAGAAGAACCTCATTTAACCTCCACCCTAATCCTCCAGACCCCCTTCTTCCCCATCCCATTTTCATTACGAGCGGAGCATGATCCGAGAACGTCCTTGTCTCTATATCAATTTTAACCAGATGATCTATATGTTGATGGTCTATTAAGATGTAGTCTAATCTCGAGTATATCTCATGTGCACTAGAGAAGAAGGTATAGTCTCTGTCTTTCATATGCGTTATTCTCCAGGTATCCACTAGTTGACATTCATGCATCACTTTCTTCAAAGCTCTCAGAGACCTACTCCCCTCTCTCTGCACAGAAGAGGTATTATCCCATTGTGGGTCCATACAGAAATTTAGGTCTCCAGCTACTATCAAACGCCCTTTTTTAAATTCCATCAATTTTTTCAACAGACCCTTCATATACATCTCCGGATTTTTATTAGGGCAGTATATATTGGCTAGAGTACACTCCATCCCCTGAAGTCTACCTCTCAAGAATAAAAACCTCCCCTCCGGGTCGGTTCTTCTATCCTCCAGCTCAAATCTCATATTCTTTGCCAAACCTATTGCAACCCCTTTTGCTCTTTTAATTGGAGAATCTGCATAATACCATATTGGATAGTGTTTGGATTTCAATTTCACGTTTGCCTCTATCTCAAAGTGCGTCTCCTGTAAAAATACCACTGACGTCGCCCTATGATGTAACTCATTAAATAACCTAAATCTCTTCCCTGGACAACTCAGCCCATTCACATTATAGGTTATAAACTGTATTTCTTCCATCATTCCCAATTAACTCTATCTCTCTTCCAAATTGCCTCTTCCTCTTTATCCCTACTGTCCTGCAGAGTATTAACCCAGTACCTCCTCTCCTTCCTCCCTCCCACCCAACTCCCCCACCCAACTCCCATCCCCTCCCTCCCGCCCCCCCCCCTCTTTTTAGGCCTACTTTTTGCCTACCAATCATTTGTGGAAATACAATCCACCTTTGATTTAATCTACAGGGGCAAAAAAAAAAAACTCCACCCATGGACAACTTTTCCCCCTTCTCCAACCTCCCCTTCAACCCCTAAGTCCTGCCTAAATATCTCAATAACAGTGGTTAGAGGACGGCTGGGAGAAGGCAGAGAAAAGAGAGGAGGGAGAGAGAGAGAGAGAAAAAAAAAAAGAAAAAACGCTATCTCTCTCCCTCCCCCCCCCCCCCCCCCCCCCCCCCTCCCCCCCGCCTCCTCCCTCCAACAGATTGCCAGTCCTCCTTTCCTTTCATTCTGATTTCCCAGTGTTCTTCTTCCCAACCAGGAATCTCCAGTCTTTGTAGTTTAAGCCTATCACAAAAATATTGCAAATCTTCTGGGAACCTGAGATATGCTGAAATTCCATTTCTCCATCCTATTAGGCACTCAGGGGTCCCCCATCTATATTGCACATTCTGTTCTTTCATTCTTTCCAATAGAGGTCTAAGGGTTTCTCCTTCTCCACAGAGTCTCTGATGACAAATCCGCATATATCTGTATGTCCTTTCCTTCATACATAATTACTGATTTTCCCTTAATCCTCTTCCAAATTTTATCTTTATCTAGAAATTCACAAAATTTAACAAGTATATCTCTTGGCCTTTCCTTTCCAGAATTTCCTTGGAGTTTTCCTTGCCTAAAAATTCCTTCCATTTTAGTCCTTTCCATATCAGTACTGTCCATTATAGAGTTTAAAATATTTTACAGACCACCTCTTGCAAATTTCTCCTTTTGAATTCTCTGGGACCCCTCGTATCCTAATATTTCTCCTCCTGTTCCTATTTTCTTGTATCTCAGTCTTATAGCGCAGTTTTTCTTGGGCTTTCCCTATATTGATTATTTCTTTTTCCAATTCAGAGATAATTTGGGATTGATTTTTAACTTTTTCCTCCATTTCTTCCACTCTCACCAAAAGATATCCCAAATCATTTCGAATGTTTACAATTTCTTGTTTTATTGTTTTTTCCAGTCCTTTAAACATTTCTGCCATTTCCTTTTTGTTTGGTATTTGTAGCTCTGTCTCCATCTCTGTGTTAGGTGATAATTGTTGGCTACTAATGTCAAGGCCTAGTGATAGTCTAGGGCTACTTTCCAGGCTTAGTTCTGCTTCACCTTTTCCACTTTTACCCTGAGACCTTTCTGGAGTTATGTTTCCCTAAGAGGTATATTTTTTTAATAGTACCGGTCTGAGTCCCTTTAGGCCCACTTCCTTTTGCATTTTTATTTTTCATTCTTCTATGGCTCTTATTCTTCTTTATAGGCTCGGGGTTAAGGAGAGATAGCTATTAATATACAAATCACACCTTATCCACTCACTTGGTTTTCAATCTTTTCTTTCGTTTTTCCTCTTCTCCTTTGCATTCCTTTACATTCCCCAATCAAGGGGGGTCCCCTCTTTACTCTCATACACTGCTTCTCCTAAACAGCTCACAACAGCGTTCAATATTAATCAAGTTTCGACCAGAGTCACTCACCCTCCTCGTGTCACTTTTCCTCTCATGACCGGCTAAGAGCTCTCTTCATCTGTCATTCAGCTGGGCAGTGTGTATATTTAGGGGCTCCCAAGGGTATCCTCCGCCTTTCTCTCTCCAATCCCCAGTGCCTCTCCTCCTTCACAAGCAGGGCTCCGAGCAGTGGGCCAGTCAGCAGGGCCCCGGACAGTGGACCAATAAGTATGACTCCATATAGTTGACCAGCAGTCAGGTCTTCGGCTAATAAGCCGGCAAACAGATCTCCGGGTAGGGACCGACCACCAGGGCTCCGAGCACTGGGTTTAGCATACGGAGCTCCAAACCGTGAGCTAGCTAACAAGGCACCAGATAGTCAGCCGGAAACAGAGGTCCAAGTATTGGACCGGCAACAGGGCTCCAATTAGTGAGCCTGTGAGCAGGGCAGCTCCTCTCCTTCCGCACCAAACAGCGGCCGGCTTCCTGGTCTCCCAGCGGTGCTTAGCGGCTGACCACGTGGCCACACCGCTCCTCCACGTCTCCCAGCAGCCAGACACGCCTTCACCGTCGAGCACCGCAGCTGAACCCCGTCTCCCAGATCAGCTCTCCCACAGCGCTTCCGTACATCCAAAGGGGACCACCATGCTGCAGTAAGTTTTCCCACTAAGCTTCCCCATTACAGGTAGGGGTTTGGGGAGGTCGGGTGGAGGAGCTTGTCCGAGAGCTCCTACATCGGGCTCTCCTCAGCCGCCATGGTTAGGCTCCGTCCTGCCCCGCCAATGTAAAAGGCGATTGATTCTTACAAAAGCACATTGGTACTGACTAATATTCCAGTGTTTCTTTTTCTTCCTCAGTTTCTCTCTCTCGCTAAGCTAATGTGACCCCACTGGTGGCAGAGAGGGGTGGAGGAGGGGCAAAAAGGATGCTGTACAGGCATCTGATGTTCTTCTTATCAACTGATGACATTGGTTGTTGGGATGCTGGCAGCTAGAAGGTTGTAATGGTGCACAATGAATACCTGTGGCTTTGTTTAACTTAAAGGCGGGCATGATCTGCCCTCTGGGTTTATATACAATTTTTTGGGAATTTTTTAGGCAATTTGCCAAGGAACCCCTGAAGAAACCTGAAGGTACCCCAGGGTGCCTGGGTACCCTGGTTGAAAAAGGCTGCTGTAGATCACTCCAATACCAATTCTTGTCATACACTGGTAAGTTATGCCAATGTTGCCTTCTTCAGACTGGGAAAATCTTGAAAAATGAAAGGGCACAAAGGCCTAGTATGTTACCATATAAAACATTATTAAAGGATAAAAAATGAAGAGTGCATACTCACATTAGCCAGAGGCTAAGACAGCAGTATAGACCACACTCAAGTGGTAAGGTGACCCTCAAAGGATGAGTAACATCACAATACTAGAAATTCTGAAGGACCCTCTGCACACTGGTATATACCCTTTCAAGGACTATGCAATAAATAGGGATATTTAGTTCACACATATTGTAATACATGCTTAAGCTGGCCAACTGCGTCAAAGTAATCCCTCTCTGGCCAGTCCTACTCTGCTCTGCCTACGCAAATGCTACTGTGTACACAATGCTAACATAGGGGAAAAGACACAATGGGGAGAGCTACAAGGTTCAGGTCTGGCTACTGACCCAACAATACAACAAACAAGAGATCCCTGTGCTCAGATCCCAACAGCTAGTGCATGAATTTATCCATCAGGTGCTAAAGGGGTGTAACCACATATTAACACTAGAAATTCTGAAGGACCCTCTGCACACTGGAGACTGGTATGTACCCTTTCAAGCAGACTATGCAATAAATAGGGATCTAAATAAACATCACAATACTGGCACCACCAAGACTCAACAGCTAAAGATTGTGGTGTTATTCATCCTTTTGAGGGTCACCTTACCACCTGAGTCTGGTCTATACTGCTGTCTTAGGCTACTGTGAGTATGCACTCTTCATTTTTTCTTCTTTAATAAAGTTTTTTCTGGTAACGCACTAAGATTTTGCACCCTTTTGTTTTTGTGTATGCCTAGAACTGATAATTGTATTTTATACGGAACTTAGACTGACTTGCAGCTGTAACTCCAGGATGTCTCATATCTCTGTCATGATATCTCCCATTGAAGAAAAAGCTAAAACTAAATGATGTTTTCTTTGCTCAGACTGTCATTGTTTTTTTATTCTAGAACAAGCTGTACAAGAGACTTCAGAGCTAGACTACTACGCCAGACGTAGACAAGAACGGGCTGCTGCTCGGGCAAAGTTGTAAGTGACTTACTGAACAAAACACATCTGTGATGCATTACAGACAGGATTCACGCTCAGATTTTACTGATGTACCATGTAGTTTATAGCATTTTAGAAGTTCTGACAACTTGTGTATTTCAGAGGTAGTCAGAGGGGAGAGGTCCTAGTTAGCAGTTATCCCACATGTACAGTATTAAGCCCAGTTGAATTTTCTGTTTAAGTCAGCTAATTTAGAGGTATCAAATCAAAAAGTGTACAAACTCCTAAAGTTAATTTTTTTTAGAAAGCAGCCAAAGCCTGTCCCCTGCCAGTATGATGCAGAGAAAGACCCTATGGAAGCAGTGGTCTCTCTTCGCAATGGTCACTACAGAGCCAGAGCTCTCCAATCAACAGGTAGCACAAGATTTGCTGATTCCAGCTATAGGTCTGGCGCAGTAGGGTTCATGTTGGACCTCTGCAGAAAGACAACTGTTTTCCCACAGAGGGCAAAAGGTCCCACTCTGCAGCTGCTGGCAGGGGTCATACTTTTCTACTAAGGCTGTGGCTGCTTTAAAAAGAAATTGAACAGTAAGATATTGAACACCTTTTGTTCTGTTGCACCTGATTTAAACTGAGGGTTCAATTGGATTAACCTGAATGGATATGAACATTCAGGGCAAAGTGAAAGTGTCTGTGTAAGGGGTACCCCCAGATCCACTGACACTTACCTTGCCAGCATTTCCCTGCCATTCATTTTACTACCACAGCTGAAAAAAGGGCCAGTGCACCTGGATATGTTGGAGCATGTGACCTCCTCCCATGTGACAGCGCTCAGGTCTAACAACCAATCACTCAGCCCAAGCACTGTCACATGACAGATGTCACCACTCCACTTAGTGTCCAAATCCTACCGGGGAGAGCTACCAAGAGATGAGTGGTCCCTTTAAAGAAAAACTGTCACTTTTCCTAAAATGAACAAGGTGACATTGTCTCTTTAAAGCCTAAGTATACTCAGTAATCAAAAAACAAAAATCAGCACAAGGGAATTTACTTACTATCAGTGTGATGTGTCCCTTGTGCTGTGGTCTCCTCTATCTTGCTCCATTGAAATCCCCCCCCCCCCCCCTCCGCACACACCTTACTGTTGTAATCTTCTAGTGCAGGGGGGTTAACAGAACCAGTGAAGCTGTGACAGGCATTCATCAACAGTGTCCACCCATGCCTGCTTTTTCCATTCAGCTTCTCCATTCATAGAAGCCGAACTACAACTTCTATGAATGCAATATTTTTCAGTCTTCCAGCCGTCCTCCATTCATAGACTCTAGAGGAGCTGGGGAAAAGGGTGGGCACGGGAGGACATTCTTGATGAGTGTTTGTCACAGCTCCATTGCCAGGTAATAGAGGAGATAGCAAGACAAGGGATCAGGGCCAACACAAGCATAAGGCTGTTTGCCAGAATAGGAAGGTGAGGGGGCGAAAAATCCAAATGCCCAGCCACTTCCTGGGAATTTGGATTTTTAGCCCCCTCCTGCCACCTGTACACACCAGTGTTTGTGCTGGGAGCCCACTGCACAGTGTGCTCCTAGCATAGAGATCAGGCTCTCGTGAGAGTCCAGGCTCTCGTATTAATGATTGGGAAATGGGACTCCCAATTCCTGATCACCTGATCGCTGTGATAGCCTCTGATTGGTTATCACGATGATCAGTCACTGTGCAGCCCATCCCGGTGTTTTTTTTCCTCTTCTTGATGGAGAGAAAGATACATTGTATCTCTATCTCCTTGCCAGGGGAGAAAGATGTAAACCTACAAAAGTGTGTAAAAAAAAAAATAACAAAAACTTAAAAAAATAAAGAAAAAATAGTTAGATCTAGGTCAGGGTCAAGGTAAGGGACAAAAGTCAGGGTTAGTTTATTTTTGGTCAGATTTGTTTTTAAAGCATTTTTAAAATTAGTATCACTGTTAGTGTCTGTGGTTCAGGTAAGATTAAAAAAAAGAAAAGAAAATGTGCACTATTGTTTCTGGGCCTTACTAAGGGTACAAACAACAACTAACATACACATATGTGGTATCGCTCAGATTGTCAGGAGCAGGAGAATTTATTTTGGGTTGTTCTTTGGTGGTAGATTATAATACTATTAAAAAATATATAGCTAACTTTAAAAAAAATGATTTTTTTTTTAGTGTTTTGGGCCAGTTTGCCTTTGATAATTCCTTTGCAGCAGAATGCACTTAGACAAAAATTCTTGCGCAGGCTCTGCAAGGGTCACATTACACTAACTATAAGTAATGTCCCTTGTGCTGATTTTTGTTTTTTCTTTATATCATACTAAATGTATGGTTTAAATACATCTCATGCTAGGTCCACTATAACAATGCAATTATTGGTTTCAGTTCAGTAGAGGCAGCATCAAGCTTCAGTTGCATATCCAGGACAGGTAGTGAAATCTCCCCAGCAGGACACAAGACAGCAAAAAAATAGCCCAGTAGGCATTTTAACTCTGCAATATCTAAAACAAAAAAAATGGCTTTATAGTCACTTTAAATCAAACCTGTCATGAAGAAATACTGTACATAGTCATCCCATGTTTTTGCAAATGCTCTGTCTTCCCTGGCTGTTGTGCTAATGTTCTAGCTTCAGAGTGTTCTGAGTCATTCACCTGGAACAAGTATCAAACCCAATATAATTCTGAGCTTGGATTAAACCAAATGATAAGAGCAGCTAGCACAAGGGAAAGATACACAACCTCAAATACCATAATACAAAAGGTGCAGAGCTAAAATAAATAATCAACTATAATACAAAAAATTCCGTGCTCAAATAAATGTCCACAATGATCCACCAAAAAAAAAAAAAGCCTGTGCTCAATAAATGTCCACAGTAGTGAATGTGTTTCCAACCATCCAAGGAGAAGAAGAGGCCCACTTTTCCAATGAGGCTGAATAAAAAGAGTGAAAATCCAAACATCTAGTGCAACCACAGGCAAGTAAGAACCCTTACCGGAGCTGTTGGGCTTTCAACCTAATGAAAAGCCAAAATGCGCTGAGCTCAGCTCTCTAACTCCCACGTGGTGTTAAAGGAGACCTACTAATTGATTTTAGAACTGGACCCACAATTTATCAGCTTCTTTCTGCATGTGAAGCTTTCAAAAATATCATCTTTTCTCACTTTGTTGAGAAAAACCGAGCAGAGGCAAAGAAGTGGCTGAGAAAGGATCCTGATGCATTTGACTGGACTCCAATTTCCAAGATGGTGTGTGAGCTGGAAGGAAGTAGTGTGAAGCTCAAGGTGGTACTGCAGGATTGGAGTTTTGTCACCTGCCACGGATATATTTGGCCTTGAGTACCAAAGCGCGTTTTGGATTTTCATTAGGTTGAGCCCCGCATGGCTGCACTGTTTTCAAATTTGACAGATAGTACGGGGAGAAGTCTCCAAGTACTAGCTGTCAGAGGGAGGGGCGCAGCTGCAGCTATGGGAACATGTTATATGATCCACCCTAAAAACGGGTGAAACATGTAAGATGTTCCCAAAGGTGAACATATCCTTTAAAGCGGAGGTCCAGTCAGAATGACAAAAAATTAAAAATCAGCAGCTACGAAAACTGTAGCTGCTGACTTAAAAAAACAGCCACTTACCTGTCCCTCGATCCCACGGTGTCCTCACTCTGGCTGGGTTCACCCGCTGCCCTGTGCCCCCGGCATATTCAGTGTGGGCTCCTGGCTGTGGCAGCTTGCGTTTCCAAAGCCGGGTGCCCACTACGCATGTGCGAGTAGTGCTGTGCTTTGTGAATGGTGAGGGGGGGTGGGGTTAAGGACAGCTTCTGATCGCCTGGGCGATCGCAGTGGATGTAGAAGCGGGTACATGTCACATTTGGGTACAATCACTCCCCAAAGGTGCCAATCCTTAATGAGAAGCAGGAAACGAAATCTTAAAGCCAAATTTCCCTTTTTGAATGGAGCTCTGCTTTAACTCTGAACCATACAATGTACAGCTGTGGGTTCCCCAATACTATGGTACCTTGGGTGACCTTACAGGTGACAGAATGGCTTTGTAGACTAGTTAAATTGACCATAGGCTGTTGCTAAGACATTTATAACATAGGATTCAAGCCAAGAGTTCTGTTTTAAAGAGTTTAATGTACTGTAGGGGCTAAGAGTAAAAGAGCTTGACTGCTGGTGTAGAGTATAGATCAAGGGTCTCCAAACTCATTCAAGCAAAGGGCCATTATTGGGAGTCAACAATGCTCCATCTTTGGTATGAGGGAGTGGGGGGATAGTGCCCAATCGTTAGTATCAGTGGAAGGCATAGTGCCCCAGGGGCCAGATAAAAGCAAGCATAGGGCCACATTTGGCCCCTGGGACTCAGTTTGGAGACCACTGGTATAGATCATGGGGATGATGACTAATTTAAATATGGGCAGTGAGTTCTTCTACCCTGTTGTAACATGTCTCAATGTACGATGATATTTAAAGAACTTTTACCAGAAAAGAAAAAAAATCACAGCAATCTTACTTAATCGTTTTTATTTTTTGTTTATTTTCCTCTCTGCAGTGCTGAGACAGACAGCCAGTGAAGGGATCCCTGCACTTGGTGAGTTGATACACAGAGGCAAAAGAAATGTGATTGTAGCACCAGGTTCCTACTCTAGGGATCCCTGGACCATTTTCACCCTCACCATGAACTTTACTGTCCCACCTAACAAAACATACTGTACAGTTAAAGAGTGCCTGAGCAGAAAGGGAAACTGCTGATGGCTGTCAGTGGCTTTGCCCCATGTGTCTCCATTGCTTGGTCATATGAGCTGTATTGTCATGGGGTCAAACAAAACAGGTGTATGGGTCAAAATCACTGTTATTAGCAAATTATCTAACTAGAAGCAACTCCAGTAATGCAGGCCATAGATGGGTTGAAAATCAGCCAATTTTTCGGCTGGAAAAAAAAAATTGGCCGATTTTCGCACCGTTAATGGGTTAATTTTCTGGATTTTGTCAGATTTTTTTGATCGGCAAAGTTGGGAAAAAATCGGCTGATTTTCACAGCAATGATGGGCAAATC